AAGTTTGGCAGTGTCGCAGGTGATCTGTGTAACGCCATAGCAGCCCTGGCCAGAAAAATGGCAACTGAGAACTGCCAAGACCTTGCTGCCCTCACTGCCTGTCGCCTTATCGCGCTCGATAAGAAACCAGGCTGCCGTCCCATCGGCATAGGCGAAGTCCTAAGAAGGATAATCGGCAAGGCAGTGATGGAAGTTGTTAAAGATGACATCACAAGCGCAGTGGGAAACCTGCAAGTATGCGCTGGACAAAAGGCGGGATGCGAGGCAGCAATACACGCGATGAGGAAGATCTTCGATGAGCCAGATTGCGATGCAGTGCTCATGGTAGATTTATCAAATGCATTCAATAACATCAATAGAAAGGTCATGCTCCACAACACAAGGATAAAATGCCCCAGCTTTGCTAGGTACATAGAGAACCTCTATTCACAACCCGCCAAACAATTCGTTAGTGACAGGGAAACCGGAAGATGCGAAATAATAGAGTCCACAGAAGGCACCACCCAAGGTGACCCCGTTGCTATGGCAATGTATGCCATTGGCCTTCTAAAATTACAAGATCGCATCAGCCACGAGAAGACGCAAGTAAAGCAGGTTGCCTATGCTGATGACATAACAGGTTCCGGAAAAATTGAGGACATAAAGAGATGGTGGGACGAGATTGTACTCTATGGGCCAATGCAAGGCTATTATCCTAATGCCCAAAAAACTGTGCTGATTGTGAAGCCCAAAAAACTTGACCTTGCCAAGGAAAAATTAAAAAACACCGACATAATAATAAAAACAGGTGGAGAGAAACATCTAGGGGCAATACTTGGCCCGATACATGACAGAGAAAAATTTATAAAGGACAGGGTCGAGGAGTGGGTAAATGAGATCTGGAGGCTGGCTAAAATAGCTACCATCGAACCACACGCCGCCTACACCGCCCTCACATTTGGAATCAGGCACAGGTGGAACTACCTCATGAGGACAGTGCCAGGCATTGGACATCTCCTCGAACCCCTCGAACAAACAATCAAGAGGGAACTATTACCGGCTCTAACAGGAGGACGCAACCCAACGGACGTCGAAAGGTCCATATTTGAATTGCCGCCCAGAAAAGGAGGCTTGGGGATTCCAAACCCCTGTAAGCTGGCCGACATAAAGTATGAAAACTCCATCAAACCTACTGCAGGTTTAACCCAACAAATGATCAATCAGAACAAACACGGGGAAATAAACCTAGCAGAACAACAAAAAATAAGGACAGAAATAACAAGAAACAGAGAACAAAAACAAGAAGAACAGCTACACCACCTCTCACAACAACTGCCAGAGGATGCCAAGAGGAGACTCCAGATGACACAGGAAGTGGGAGCATCGAATTGGCTCACCACCTTGCCTATAAGAGTGAAGGGATTCAGCCTAAACAGACAAGATTTTATCGACGCCCTCGCTCTAAGGTATGGCTGGTCCATGGATGGTCTCCCTCAGCACTGTGCCTGCGGATCTCCCTTCGACTCAAACCATGCCATGATCTGTAAGACAGGTGGTTTTGTGGTCATACGGCATGACGAAGTGAGACCTCACCGCTCAGATGCTGAGAGAGGTTTGTCATGACGTCAGAGTAGAGCCGGAACTACTTTCGACTGGAGGACGAAATTTCGATCTGAGGTCAACAAACACGACAGAAGACGCTCGCCTTGATGTCAGCGCTAGAGGCTTCTGGGCAAGAGGACAGAGAGCCTTTTATTATGTCAGGATATTCAACCCCATAGCCCCCAGTAATAAGGGCCAGCAGCTGAAAGCGGCCCACCTCAGACATGAAAATGAGAAAATGAGAGAGTACGGGGAGAGGATCCAGGAAGTGGAGCAGGGATCTTTCACTCCCCTCGTCTTCACAACTGCAGGTGGGATGGCATCAAGGTAAACTTTCTACGCGCTCCTGGCACAGCAGCTCGCCGATAAAAAACGCCAGGCGAAGAGTAATGTCACCGCGTGGATGAGATGTCGTCTCTCGTTCTCCCTCCTGAGATCAGCTCTCCTGTGTCTTCGAGGGACGCGGACAAAACCACCAGCTTACACAAGCATCAGGGATATGGACTTCGAGGAGACCGTTCAGGAGTGTAGGATAGGTGACTAATGTATATATTGTTTAGAATAAATAAAGTTATCAAAAATAAAAAGATGGATGTCAGCCACAGTCATTGGCGAGGTCGGGGCCAATGAAATGTTTTGTGAATTGTAATTAAGACACTTCACAACACATCTTCCTGTAACAGGAATGGAGGTCGACAGAGAGAAAAAAAAGAAAGAAAAAAAATATAGAGAGAGAGAGAGAGAGAGAGAGAGAGAGAGAGGAGAGAGAGAGAGAGAGAGAGAGAGAGAGAGGGCTGGACGAGAAAGAGGGTGACTGTAAATAAAACGAAGAGAGAGGATGTACAGAAATTAATAAAAATAATAAACAAAACAGTGATTTCAGGTACCAGCATGATAACAGCTAAAAGGAGATTTGGAATAGGGAGAAATCAAATGTATGCATTAAAGAAACCAAACGGAAAAGTGACATGACAAGAAGGAAATCTTTAAAATAGTGGAATATACAACTCAAATGAACAGATATGGATAGAAGCAAACGTGGTATACCTACCATCACAGCAGAAGAAATAAAATGAGCGTATAAAGACATGAAGAGAGAGAAGACTGGATGGAATTAGATGAAGGAGAAATGCCTTTGGATCTGCAAACTCCAGAAGTCTGGAAAAATGCAAAAATAATTTTAATACATAAAAAGGGGATAGAAAGGATTTAAAAAACTACCGACCTATAAGCCACTTTTCAGTTACTTGTAAAA